GTTGGACCAAAGAGGAAGCATGAGTGGGCTAGCGAACACAAACTTGCCACAACGAGGAAATTAATAAAATTAAGCCAAGGGTTAGTAGATCGAACCCCTTTTCTCTCCCTCCCGTCTCCGATTCCCAAAACAACTGGACCTTTTTATCAATCGGGCAGACGAGCTTTCTCCTCTCATCCTACCTCTCATCTTCACCTGCCGTCCCATCTGCCCTTTGTCTATCTCACACTCTGATTCCTCTTCTTCTCTCCTCCGCCCTCTGCCCTCCTCCGTCCACCAGGAAACGAAGGAGCTCTACGAGCAGAAGAGGTGAGTGTCGTTGCAGCCCGGTCCTTGGTTGCTGGGTTTGTATCACACAACACACGGAACAGGGCTGTGAGTAATGCGGGTGTAAACTGGGGGCGCGCGATGGCGTGATGCCATGCCAGTGCAGCTGCTGTGCCGTGTCACGCTTGATGCACTCAGTGTGCGAAGGGAGTGCCACGGACGCACACAGACGAAATGGCTGGATAGGATCGTTGGAAGTGATTGGAACTAAAAGGGAGTTCAAATCTGCAAAGCTGAGTTGGGACTGGCCTGCGCATTTCGTTTCTCTCCACTGTGTTCGCCCCATGTGCCTCGCCCCATGTGCCTCGCCCCATGTGCCTCGCCCCATGTGCCTCTCGCTCGGACCGACGGCTTGGCTGTTGCTGTCCCCTGTTCCCACCCCACCTCTTCCCTGCGCCCCCAACGTGTGGGCGAGCAGGAAGGCGCATGCGGCAGCGGCAGTGGCGGCCAAGGCAAGGCGCAGAGAGGCGGCCGCCATGGGCGCAGGGGGGGGCGCAGGGGGGGAGGCAGAGGGGGCGGGGGGGCCGGAGGAGGAGGAGGCGGCGGCGCAGGAGGAGTTTGACGAGGTGGCGATGACGCTGGGGTGCCGCATCCTGGCGCTGCAGCAGCGCCAGCCGCGCCTGCTGCTCACCCTCGCCGTCAAACACCACGCCGCCAAGGTGGGCCACCTGTGCCGCCAAGGTGGGCCACCTGTGCCGCCAAGGTGGGCCACCTGTGCCGCCAAGGTGGGCCACCTGTGCCGCGCGTTTAGGACTGTATAGGTGCTCGGTGCTTCAGTGTGAAGCAATCAGGCAGACGCGATGCTTTCACGGTGTGTTGCCCCGCCCCTGCACCCACGATCTCCTCTTCTTGCACAACACGATCCCTCCGCTTCTCCTCCTTTTTGCCCTGCCGTCCCGCAGGTGCGGTGGGTGCGGGGCAGTGCAGGGGAGCTGCAGCGAGTGCAGCCGCACATGCTGCACGTGCTGGACGACCTGGGCCTAGCGCACACACCGCTGCTGGCGCCCGTCGCACAGGGGGACGTGGACGAGTGGGGCGACGAGGGGGGCGACGAGGGGGGGGCAGGCAGTGCAGTGGGCGCGAGGCAGATCTGCCTCGATGCCTTGAGCGTGCCACCCGCATCACCTGTGCGTGCATGTCGGAGCTGCTCTGCTGTGTATCCGTGTTCCACCAGCTCCCTTGTTGCACTCGCCCCACTTTCCACTATTTCTATCCCTCACTCCATTTTCTATTCCCTACATTCATTCTCTCCATTCATTCCCCCTTGTTCTCTTCCCCCGCTCCCTCTTTATGCCTCTCCCCCCTCTTGCAGCACGCCCCAGCTCAAGGCCTCGCCTCTCCCCCCTCCCCCCAGCACGCACACCCCTCCACACCCGCACACATCGCTGCCACCGCTCCTGCTGCCCCCGCCCCCTCTGCTGCCTCTGCACCACATGCGCCTGCCACGCCTCCTGCTGCACCCGCGCATGCACCGCCACCCATCCCGCCCTCCACCTCCACGGCACCTGCGCCCTCCCCTGTCATGCCGCCCGCCCCCACCTCTGTCAGGGCAGATGCCCCTGGCCCAGGGGGGGTTGGGCGAGGCAACGCGGTGAGTGGCGGCACAAGGAGCATGCCTCGCAGTGTGGGCGAGGGAGCAGGCATGCAATCAGGAGGCGTGCTGCAGCAGCCACAAGTCCATGGAGACTCGCCCACAGCACCACCACCACCACCGCCGTCTCAGGGCCGGCATCGCAGCAGCAGCAGCACGGGGGCGGGGGGAGCAGTGCGGCCATTGCTGGGGGCGTCCAAGTCGGGTCCCATCTCTGCCGCCGCCTACCTGGGCGCTCTCGCTGCCTCTGCTGCACCTCTGGGAGGGCCGCTTGTTGCTGCAGCCGCCACAGGGGGGGGCATGGGGGCAGCAGGCAGCAGAGGGGCGGCAGTACCGAGGGGAGCGGGTGCAGGCACGGCGGGGCGGGGCAGAGCGCCTCACATGGAGCCCTTTGCAGCGCAGATGTCGGGCCCTCTCCCCCGCCCGGAGTCCTTGCAGGGGCCTTGGGGCATAGTCTCTGCCACCCCACCCACACCGCCTGCACCTGCAGCAGCGCCACCTGCTGGCCCTGCCACCGCTGCTGCTGCCGGGTCTAAGCCCACCCCAGGCGGCGCCAAGCCTACGCCTGGCGGCCCTTTGATGCCAGGCACAGCGCAGGGGGCTGCTGTGGGTGCTGGCATGGGGGCAGGGGCTGGGCAAGGTGCAGCAAGCGGTGGCACTGGTGGATCAGCAGCAGCAGCAGCAGCCGCAGCCGGTAGGGGACGGGGAGCAGGGGGTGGTGGTGGGGGCGTGGGCAGCAATGCGCCAAGGGCGCGAGTGAGCATGTCGGGACCCATTCTGCGCGGCTCCTACCCCTACGGCACAGCAGCCCTCTCACCCCGACCCATGCTCGCCACAGCCACCGCTCTGCCCACTGCGCCTTGTGCTGCTGGAAGCTCCACGCCCTCTGCACCCAACCCCTCGTTGCCCTCCCCGCCAGCGCCAGCACCATCAGCACCACCAGCACCATCAGCAGCAGCAGCAGGAGCAGCAGGCAGAGCCCCATCTGCGGTGCCTGCCGCCCTGCGCGTGCCACAGACCTCGTCTCTGAAGACTCCTGGCAGCACCGTGCATGCGCTTGTGTCCCCCCGTCCCTCCGCCGCTGCACCTGCTCCATTCCACCTCGCCCCCTCGCACGCGACCCATGTCGCCCCGGTGGGGGCGGGCAGCCGCGCAGTGAGTGGCCCCATCACGCGCGGGTCGCTCTACTCCACCTTCGGCCTCATGGCCGATGCCCGCCCCGCCGCCTCCACCACTGCTGCTGCTGCTGCTGCTGCTGCTAGGCGAATAGCGGTTCCGGGAACAGCAGGGAGCAGTGGTGGGGCGAGTGGAGCAGCAGCAGCAGGGCGTGGCAGTGGTGGTGGGGTGAGTGCCGTGCGGCTGCACAAGTCGGGCCCCATCGGCCCCTCCCATCCCTACTACTCCTCCCTCACCCCCCTCTCCCCTCCTCGCAACATGCCCCTTCACGCCCTCCCCCCTCCTCCCCTCGACACCCCCCCCACTGCTGCTGCAACGGGTGCCGCTGCTGCAGGAGGCATCGAAGGTACAGAGGGTGCCGGTGCTGGAGGTGGGGATGGGGCAGGCAAGGGGAGTGCGGACAGCAGAGCTGGGGGCAGTGGCAGCGCAGGAGTGGCAGGTGGGCAGGGGCAGGCGTCCCCTGCTGCCACCTCCTCCGTCCTGCAGCATCACCACGGCCGCCCGCCACCCATCGTTGCAGGGGGAGGGGTGGGAGGAGGGGGCACGGCAGGGCGGGCGCGGGTGGGGGGGGGCGTCGCGCAACCTATCGGTGGCAACGATCATGTCGGAGGGCAGTGAGGAGGGCGGATCCAGCACCAGCAGCATTGCCACCTCGCCTGCTGCTCGCCCTGTGCCCTCCTGACGCCCTTGCCCTCCTAATGCTCTCGTGGTGACCACAACGATGGGAGTGTAGAGGGAGGTGGATGGAAGGAGACCAAGCCGGTGCCTCACTCGTTCGTGGGCACTAGCACATGGGGTGGGGCCATGTAGATTCTGTCAGTCTCTCTCTCTCCATCACCCATGCTTTCCATCTCTCCATCCTCGTGCAGTATCCCTCCTCTTCCATTGCTCCTTTGTCCGCGCTGTGGGCCATGTCGTGCGCCTCACGAGCTTCTGCAGCAAGCCGGTGGCTCCATGCTGTTGCTGGAGTCAGGCGCCGGCCGTGGCACCGCCTGTATGGCGCACACACTCTTTTCTCCACTGCAGCAACCATGCCATGTGAATAACACTGCCATTGAGAGTGGAGCAAAACTATAAACCATACATACAGTATTTCTCCAAATGCAGCACCCTCCAATATTGACCGGGTGTATGAACAGAAGTTGTAGTTACAAAATGAAGCCCTTGGTTTCAGCAAAATGTAGCAGCACTACAGCTCAGAAATTATTTCGTATCGTACTGTTTGACTTTTGTTAGCCCCTGGAGAGCACTCTCTTCTCTACCTTGAGAACACAACTTCATGAGTTCCATTAATACCGTATTGAAACCAAATGTACGTATATGTTTTCTAGAAAAAACAAAACGCCTGCATGGAATATCCAACTTATTATGACATGAAGATAGCAGTAGACGGCACTGAGCTAAGCTACTAAGATTAGAAGTGTTACTGGTATGATGTGCAATGCATATCAGACATAATAATTTGGTAACTCACTAGAAGCACTCTAACGAGAACGCTGACTCGCTCACACACTTTCGCCCAAGCGTCAGTCAACAGTTCCACACCGTTGACTGGATTCGCGTTGACTCCCAGATCCATTGGATCGTCCCAACAGTCAAAACAACGCATCAGTTTCCCCTAATCTACGCACGTCGAGCGACTTTGCCTCATGGCAGCGGCGGCGATGGCAGTGGAAGTACAAATAGCGACGTCGCTGGTCGCATTCCTCAGCGCTCTCAGGTTTCTTTTCAGGCCACGCCTCTCGAATCTCGCTCGGCCACCCGCCAGCATCGCCACGTGGGCTCCGACTCGGACCGTCTTCGCTCCTGTCCTGCCTCGCCACTCCCATTCGCCTCGCGCTCTCCCTCCAGTTCACACAAGGTTCGATTCGTCGCAGTAACCATTTAGCATTACGCGCCGCCCGCCATGATGACGCGTCGCCTCCCGTCGTCCCGTGTCGTGCTGGCCCTCGCGCTCGTGGCGCTCCTCTGCTTCGCGGGCGTCGATCACGCGGCGTGCAGCGCGCGCTCGCTCGGCCTTCCAAGATTCGGCGGCTTGGTGGGGGGATCGGGGACACGCGGAGCCTGGTCCTTCTTCCGCCCCCCGCGGACCAGCGGCGGCGGCGGAAGTGGCGCGATGAGCGGCGGGCAGAGCGGGCAGGGCGGGTTCGGGTCGCAAGGAGGTGGCGGGATGAGCGGACCAACGGGTAATGCGGGCGGAGGGGGCATGGGCGGAGGGGGCATGGGCGGAGGAGGCATGGGCGGAGGAGGCATGGGCGCAGGAGGCATGGGCGCAGGAGGCATAGGCGCAGGAGGCATGGGCGGAGGAGGCATGAGCGGAGGAGGCATGAGCGGAGGAGGCATGGGCGGGGGAGGCATGAGCGCAGGAGGCATGGGCGGAGGAGGCATGGGCGGAGGAGGCATGGGCGAGGGAGGCATGGGCGGAGGAGGCATGGGCGGAGGAGGCATGGGGGGAGGAAGCATGAGCGGAGGAGGCATGGGCGGAGGAGGCGTGGGTGGGGGAGGCATGGGCGGAGGAGGCATGGGCGGAGGAGGCGTGGGTGGGGGAGGCATGGGCGGAGGAGGCATGGGCGGAGGAGGCATGGGCGGAGGAGGCGTGGGTGGGGGAGGCATGGGCGGAGGAGGCATGGGCGCAGGAGGCATGGGCGGAGGAGGCATGGGCGCAGGAGGCATGGGCGGAGGAGGCATGGGGGGAGGAAGCATGGGCGGAGGAGGCGTGGGTGGGGGAGGCATGGGCGGAGGAGGCATGGGCGCAGGAGGCATGGGGGGAAGCAGCGGGTCATCGGGTGGGAGTGCGTGTGGCAACAGCAGCAGCAGCAGGAGTGCCAAGCTCACGAGCAGCAATGGCAAGAGGTGCGCCCACCCGCTCAGCCACTCTGCATGCACGCTCACATCCTCTCATCTCTTTCCCCCATGCATGCATTTCCTTTCCATCGCTTTTTCTGCCCCCTTTTCTCCATTCCATCACTCTGTTCCCCCTGCCCTGTTCTCCCCCTGACCTGTTCCCCCTGCCCTGTACCCCCTGCCCTGTTCCCCCTGCCCTTTTCCCCCTGCCTTGTTCCGCCTGCCCTGTTCCCCCTGCCTTGTTCCCCCTGCCTTTTTCCGCCTGCCCTGTTCCCCCTGCCTAGTTCCCCCTGCCTTTTTCCGCCTGCCCTGTTCCCCCTTCCTTGTTCCCCCTGTCTTGTTCCGCCTGACCTGTTCCCCCTGCCCTGTTCCCCCTGCCTCCCCCTGCCCCGTTCCCCCTGCCCCGTTCCCCCTGCCCCGTTCCCCCTGCCCCGTTCCCCCTGCCCCGTTCCCCCTGCCCCGTTCCCCCTGCCCCGTTCCCCCTGCCCCGTTCCCCCTGCCCCGTTCCCCCTGCCCCGTTCCCCCTGCCCTGTTCCCCCTGCCCCGTTCCCCCTGCCCCGTTCCCTCTTCCCCGTTCCCCCTGCCCTGTCCTCCCGGCCATGGCAGGGTGATGGAGAGCAACGGGTGTCCGGGGTACGCATGGCGGGGGCAGGCCACGCAGTACTCGCCAGTGCAGCAGGCGCTGTCCTTCGCCGTGCCGCTCGCCCCCACGCTCGCCTCCTCCACCATCCCCGTCGCCCTCAGCGGCACCTGCAAGATGGGGCCCATCGGCTTCGTACTCAACGGCGTGCCCTTCTACAGGTGCAGGGGGGGAGGGAGGGGGGAGAGGGAAGGGGCGAGGGGGAGAGGGTAGGGGCAGTGGGCTGACAAGGAGTTGGAGTTCTGCATCTCGTTCCGCAGTGTGCCGCCCATGCCATGGCCTGGCATGGCCCCACGTGCTGCTCTCCTGCTGCCCTTGCGTGCGATGCCAGGCAGTACGAAGAAGCGTGTGAGTCCCAGTGGTGTGCATACCATCTCACGCCCGCATCGTCCCTCCGTGTCTCTTCCCCTCCCTCTCCCCCTGGCAGTGCGTGTGACGCCCTGGGGCGGGACGCCTTGCAGTACGAGGGCGCCACGTTTGACGCATGTGGCGGGCACCCCACGCCCTCAGGCCAGTACCACTACCACGTGGCGCCCGGCGTCGCCAACCCCTCTGCCATCTCCGCATCTCGCTCCACCAACTTCAACCTCTGCAAGTGCGCTCCCCCATTCCCTCACCTGCAACCTCTGCTCCTTCCATGTACCATGCGCTGCCTCATGCCATTCACCTCGTAGCATTCCTGGCATCCCAACCGTCCATCCCCCCTTGTCTCCGCCTGCCTACCCTCCGCCCTCCCCCTACTCCATTGGCAGCGCGTCCTTCTGGCAGGACGCCCCCGGGCAGCACTCGCCACTGCTGGGCTTCCTGGCGGACGGCATCCCGCTCTTCGGCCCGCGGGGAGCGGGGGGAGCGCTGCCGGCAGGGGTGGACGAGTGTGGGGGGCACGTGGGCGACGGCAGTGGGGGCGAGCCGGCGTTCTACCACTACCACGCCAGCAGCACCGCGCCCTACACTGTCGCGTGCCTCAAGGGCTGCGTCTCCTCCTCCGACTGGGGCAACCTCGGCTCCGCCTCGTGCACCAAGGCCACCAGTGAGTGGCCACGGCTGTGCACTTGCTTCCGTGTGCACTTGCTACCTTGTTATGCACATGCTGCCTTGGTCACCCCCCGAACCTCATCTCCTCTTTTCTCCTGTGCAATCTTTGCCTCGTCCCTCCTACCCTCTCTTCGCCTCGTCCCTCCTCTTCTCCCTTCGCCTCTCTTCTCCTTTCAACCCTAAACCCTTCTCCTCCCCTTTCCTCTCCTCTCCTCTCCTCTCATCTCATCTCCTCACCTCGCCTCTCCTCGCTCCTCACGTGGAACTGTCTGCTCATCCCCCCCCATAATCTCCCATTCCATCGCCCACAACAGAGCAATACGACTACTCATCCCTGGCAGCAGTGCAGGCAGTGTGACCCCGTGGCTGCCATGCCACCCGCCCACGCCACCCACCCACCCACCCTCGTTTCTCACCGAGGTCTACTTCTTGGGGCTCAATGCTCCTTCTAACATAGCCAGCGACGCGAGATGGCAATGCAGGGCTCTCACTGCAGGACCAGCACTGCAGGGTTGGCACATGGGGGGCAGGTTAGGATAGCAGGTTGTGGCATGAGCATCGTTATATGCGTGCCTACGGGTGTGTTCCTGCCTCGTATCGAATCACCATGTGCCAGTCACTGGTTGTATTGAGTCCTGCATACGGTGCTTGATGCGAGGTAGGAACGTTACCCGTCTTACAGGGTCCTCGACATTAGACATTTTTGTCTGTTTGTCGTAGTTTCCAGACGATATTTTTCCAGTTAATCTGATTTTCAAGGAATTATTTATTTTTTCATCTGATTGAGTAGAAATGAGTTTTTGTCTTCATCTGATTCATCAGAAGTGTAATATATGTTTCGTCTGAAATCGAAACATGTTAGAGTACGGGGATTTCCCGCAAAACATGCTCTGACAGGGCAAATCTGTTGTCAAAGCGAATCTGCTGTGTTGTGTAAGGTCGAATCTCTTGTGTCAGGACGAGTTGTCTATGATTGGACGAACATGTTGAGCTCTGACGTCGCGAATCTGCCGTGTCACAGCGAATTTGCTCCGATGGGGCGAATATTTTGTGCTCTGACAGGGCGAATCTGCCGTGTTGGGGCGATTTTGCTGAGACCAGTGAAGTCCGAATCACACCAGCGTGTACTTCGAATGAATGCGACAGGTCCAGAAAAGTCAGACTCAACTTGTTATCCCACGTGCATCTACACGCTAGAAACTCTATTTTAATTGGTCAGACAAGTTCTTTTAAAATTTCTGATGCATCAGACACGCGAAGGCAAAAGGTTTAAGTTTAAGTTTTATTAAGGTCTACAGCAGCGGAGGCTACACAAGGTGATTAGACCAGGATCTACATCCTACGCTTAGACAGCGTTTGTGAGGCCAGGCAGAGCCCACATGCCAGATTGCCCAGCACGCTCCGTGCTTTACCTACACCCAAAACAAAGTCACGGTGGTTGGAACGCGTTGTTAAGCCAGGTGGCACGAAGTTGGGGGTGTAGCTGAGGGGAGCCGTCGGGTTGGAATTGGAGCAGATTGTGAATCTTCGCAGCTTGGACTCGGTTGGCCGTGGTTCTTTTACGCTTCTCGGATTTCTTGTTGCGACGGAAGAAGTAGATCTTGCATGCCGATAGGAATAGGGCCAAAATGTGGTGGAGCATCGTATGCACAGAATGAGAGGTGTTGTCGTAGATTTGTGAGCAGCGATTGCGCCAGAGAACCAGAGCGGCAGAACCGACCAGCAGGCACCAAGGCGCGATTTGACCGGAGCCCGCAGAGAGTAGGAAGTAAACTGCATCTGGAGGAAGTCATTCGTAGGTGCTTGCTGGCCGTACGCTGGAGCGCGGTGACGACGGCCGGCGCGTTTCCACACTCGAAGAAGATATGTGAGTGAGATTCGATAGAGTTGTTCCGGCAGCGGGGGCAGATGCCTTGAGTACGTGTGAAGGGAAGCCTTTCACCGCACGGTAGGGATCTTGTGTATAGTCGGTATAGGATGTCCTTCTGGCGGCTGGTTTGGTCCTTGAGAAATGGTTGGGTAAAGTTGGGGAGGGATGTGATGGGCGTTTGAAGAATCTCGTTCCATTTTTCGACGTGGTGGAGTGGTTCCCGGATGTAGAGGAACTGACGAATCCCCGCGAGAGACAGCTGCTGCCGTAGTATCTCATGCCGTACTCCCAGCGCAGCCCCAGAACAGTAGGTTCCAGCCACCCAGATCCCTACGACGCAGACCGTGATGACCTCCGTGACGTGTAGGGATCAGCTTCCTGACGGTTCCTTAGCGAGTTGCCTTTCGCGTGAGACCTTATACCTATCAAAGCAGGCGGTACCGTTGGGGAGGACCTGGATTACACGAAGGATTCGTGAGGGGGTCGGGGCAGCATTCGCTTCGAAAGCCCAGTCATCTTTTTTCAGGTATCCTTGCCTTGGAGAGAATGTCTCGAGTATCTCCCACCAGTCATCATCGACTGCCTTATAAATGCTTAGCAGGATGCGAAGACCTCCGGGGAATTCCTTGGGCGGGTATTGGGAGCGGAACTCGGAAGCTGTTAGCTTCCTTGTGCCTCCTGGAATCGAGACAAGGAGATTCCCGAGTCTTATTTGTTTGTCCAGAAGGAATTTTTCTTCTTTGATTCGTCCAAACGGCTTCTCGTCTGGCTTGCTTATGAACCTGTTAAATGCCACAGGCTCCGCCATCAGAACCCAAGGTTCGAGTCTCGGGGGGAGAATTTTTGCCGGAGTTTCGAGGAGGCTTTGGAGTTCTGCCTGGGCTCTGGCTGGGGTGGAGCTGGGGAGATGTTTCAAGATGTCAGGGTGTGCTAGATAGCAATGGAGACCGAAGGGTAGGGTGGAGCAAGCCCGGGCGATGTCCTCATATGGGGAGGGTAGAAAGCGTCGCGTTGCACGCTGGATATTAAGGGCTTTTAGTTGGGTAGATGGTGCGGTAGCCCCGACGCCTTCGTGTTTCTGTTTGTTGTAGAGGAACTGTTTCGGAATGAGACGTGTTGGACGACTATTCTCCTTGTATTTGGAGGAAGCAAAGTCCCGACCACGTGATCCAAGTTTTTAACTGTTGGTTTAGGGGGGGGCTGGAACCTGCCGACGTAGGAATAAAGGGAAGAAAGCCGTTCCGCGGTGAGTAACCGTCTGCATGTGGTGGTGGCGTGTAACCGAGAAAGGAGTTCAGAGGTGGAGTTAACCCTTCCCCTGATGAGGCCCCAGGTGGTGTTGCCTGGTTGCTCCTATTCTACGTATATGCCTAGGACTCTTTCCGCCTCATGTGGTTTGCGGATGGGGATTTGCCATGCATGCCTGAGGTCGGATGGGACGAACAAACACGAACAAGCACGAACAAGCACATGCGACATTGTACTGGTACAACGACGACAACGCATAACAATAATGAGTGTCTTGGGGAGAATGCTAGAATGCATCGATGATGCAACAAAGGTTGGTCTGGCACGCTAAGGCTATTGCCCCATCGGCGATCACAACCTGAGTTGCATACACGAGGCACTTCAGCACACGCCTTGAGACAGACACAAAACGATACAAACAACAAGACTGCACATACATATCTCACACAGGCTCACACACTCACATACACACTGACACGCACGCAAACAAGCACAGATACATACGGATAGTCAACACCCAACCATCATGAAATTCAGCTATTAATAAATAATCACTAGCCAATCACCCCTTACCCTCCCTACACCCCTGCCTCCCCCCCCTCCCTCCCTCCCTCCCTCCCTACCTCCCTCCCTCCCTCCCTCCATCCCTCCCTCCCTCATCTCCCTCCCACCCCCTCCTTCATCTCCCTTCTCTGCCAAACAAAATCAACGAATGCAGCTCACGCGCCCTGCACAGAGCAAAAACAAATAATGCAAAGCACGCGCCCTGCACAAGAAAAAGGCAAAAACAAAGAATGTTCACACACTGTACAAACAAATCAATAAAACGCATAATGCTTCGAGGAGGCCAAGCAGGAAACTTGACAAGCAGTGGAAAGTTTGACAACTCACAGAGGTAAAATGGTGTGGCACCACAGTACTACGCCAACATGATGCAATACATTGCAGCCACCCTCACGTTCAACTTCACAATCACGCTCGCACTCACTCAATCTTGCACCCACTCACACACAGACACACAAAGACTCTCAACTTTCTTAGACACTCTCTCAGAAACACACAACCCTACACGCTCTCTCACGCGCTCTCTCACACGCACTCTCTCGCACACTCTCACACGCACTTTCACGCGCACTCTCACGCGCTCTCTCACGCGCTCCCTCACGCTCTCTCTCACGCGCACTCTCACGCGCACTCTCGCGGGCACTCCCACGCGCACTCTCACGCGCACTCTCACGCCCTCTCTCACTCGCTCCCTCATGCGTCACTCGCGCGCTCTATCACGCGCTCACTCACGCGCACTCTCACGCGCTCACTCACGCGCACTCTCACGCGCCCTCTCACGCGCTCTCTCACGCGCTTCCTCACCTGCCCTCTCACGCGGCCTCTCACGCGCACTCTCACGCGCACACGCACTGTCACGCGCTCTCTCACGGGCACTCTCACGCGCACTCTCATGCGCTCTCTCACACACTATCTCACGCGCGCACTCTTACACACTCTCTCACACGCACTCTCACGCGCACTCTCTCGCGCACTCTCACGCGCTCCCTCACGCGCTCGCTCACGCGCGCTCTCACGCGCACACTCACGCGCTCTCTCACGTGCACTCTCACGCGCGCACTCTCCCGCGCACTCTCACGCGCTCTCTCACGCGCACTCTCACACGCTCCCTCACGCGCACTCTCACACGCTCCCTCACGCGCGCTCTCACACGCGCTCTCACGCACTCTCACGCGCTCTATCACGAGCGCACTCTCACGCGAACTCTCACGCTCTCCCTCACGCGCTCTCTCACGCGCGCACTCTCATGCTCTCCCTCACGCGCTCTATCACGAGCGCACCCTCATGCGAACTCTCACGGGCACTCTCACGCTCTCCCTCACGCGCTCTCTCACGCGCGCACTCTCACGCGAACTCTCACGCGCACTCTCACGCTCTCCCTCACGCGCTCTCTCACGCGCGCACTCTCACGCGAACTCTCACGCGCACTCTCACGCTCTCCCTCACGCGCGCACTCTCACGCGAACTCTCACGCGCACTCTCACGCTCTCCCTCACGCGCTCTCTCACGCGCGCACTCTCACGCGAACTCTCACGCGCACTCTCACGCTCTCCCTCACGCGCTCTCTCACGTGCGCACTCTCACGCGCACTAACACGCGCACTTTCACGCGCTCTCTCACATGGCCTCTCACGCGGCCTCCTGGCGCCAGAGCGCTAATCGCCAGCGCGTAAGGCG